CTTATTTGAGAGATGGTCTCACTCTGTTGCCCAGGCTGGAATGCAGTGGCATGGTTATGGCTCACTGCAGTCTTGACCTCTTGGGCTCAAGGGATCCTCCTGCCTCTGCTCCTGAGTAGTGGGACTATAGGCATGCACCAACACACTTGGCTCATTTTTAAACTTTTGTAGAGACAAGATCTCCCTATGTTGCCCAGGCTGGTCTCGAACTTTTGAGCTCAAGCGATCCTACCACCTTAGCCTCCCAAACTGCTGGGATTATAGGGGTGAGCCTCTGCACTGGCCCCTAGTTTATAATCCTTGATTAAAGGGACATTGGCAACAAACTGTCTCAAAATTGAATAGTTATGCTTTGTGTACTGTCCCCCGTGAGCTATCCCTTTCAATCAGTCTGCTACCCAAAGACCTAACCTGGTTTCTGACAATACTTAAGTACATAAACTTTATGTAGTTAAACCTAGCACATAATCAGGCCAAATTATTGACCCAGCAGCACCAAAGATCTAGCATGAAAGGACTTAAGTTAAACAAGAAAATAAAGCTAAGACTAAATTTTGAATAATTATGTTTTGCAATCAGAGCTTCAAATGAAAATACATATCAGCTTCCCTAGAATGATTTTATTTTTTATTTGATGCTATTTTTAGAAGCGGTGTCTTACTCTTTTGCACAGGCTGGAGTGCAGTGGTGCAATCCCAGCTGACTACAGCTTCAAACTCCTGTGCTCAAGCAATCTTCCAGCCTCACCTTCCCAAGTAGTTGGGACTACAGGTGTGCACCACCACGCTGGAATCCTAGAATGATTTCAAACTCTTCCTAGTGTTGGGCGATTTTATTACCAGTGCCTGCCATGATAGCACGGCTTAGAAGACAATCCATCTCTTTTTTTTTTTTTTTTGTCGTCGTTGTTGACCTACTTCATTTCTGACCTGGGCTGATTCACCCTTCTTGAGCAATCTGGTGGTCCCCGGCTCCCAGGAGGTCACCATATTGAAGCCAGCCTTCATGCAGACCACCCCATTGCCATCGCACACTAAGGCCCAGAACTCATGGGCTCAAGCCACCCTCCAGCTGCAGCCTCTTGGGAACTCAAGATGGGCGTCACCATGCTGGCTCTCTTTTTCTCACTTGTTTAGCAGGGGAGGTAAGGAACCCATTACACACTCAAGAGCATGTTTTACCTCCTATGCTGATAGTCTCAAAAGTGGTTTCAGCAAGCAGGCAAGATGATGCAGTGGGTTGTAGGAAGAACATATTCGAAATTCTATTAGTTTTTAATCTGTGAAAGATGTTAAGCCTCACTAATATATAATATGTGGTACACACAGTAATTCATAAATCAGAAAGTCTTATGTCATAAACAAAACATCCTAAGAGTTGGTGTTACACGTTTGGAGGAGTTGATGGGATACCCTTCTTTATTTTTCACTTTCATCCTGTTACAGGATCATAGACTAAAGTAATTACCTTTCAGAAAATGGAATTGTTACTCTAAATGTAAGCATTAAGATCATACCTTGTCTGGGCGTGATGGCTCACGCCTGTAATCCCAGCACTTTGGGAAGCAAAAGCAGGTCGATTACTTGAGGTCAGGAGTTCAAGATCAGCCTGGCCAACATAGTGAAACACCGTCTCTGCTAATACAAAAATTATCCAGGAATGGTGGCGCATGCCTGTAGTCCCAGCTACTCGGGGCTGAGGCAGGAGAATCACTTGAACCTCAGAGGCAGAGGTTGCAGTGAGCCGATATCGCACCACTGCACTCCAGCCTGGGCAACAGAGTGAGTGAGACTCCATCTCCAAAAAAAACAAAAAGATTTTACCTTATCAGGTAGATAACCAATCAGAATTATGATGTGGAGGTTAAAAGGTGACTTTCACCAGCCATGGTTATAATCACTGAGGTTCTCGGATCTTGCAAGACTTCTCTTTTAGAAATAATAGAGGAATGCCTTCTGCAGGAGACAGTGGCTCACGCCTGTAATCCCAGCACTTTGGGAGGCCAAGGTGGGCTGATCACCTGAGGTCAGGAGTTCGAGACCAGCCTGACCAACATGGTGAAACTCTTACGGGGCATCCCAGCTACTCGGGAGGCTGAGGTAGGAGAATCGCTTGAACCTGGGAGGCAGAGGTTGCGGTGAGCTGAGATCACGCCATTGCACTCCAGCCTGGGTGACAAGAGCAGCGAAATTCCATCTTAAAAAAAAAAAAAAAAAAAGAAAGAATACAGTAATGTCTTTTTTACAGTTATGGGGAAGAATGAGCATGTTTTCCTGGTTAACAGCCAGAAGAGCCTACAGTTTGAAGACTACTAGAATTCCACTTTTTAATACATGGAGAAAATAAAGGCAAGCCTGACAGTCTCAAATTAAAGTAGAAAGAAGAGCAAAATAATTAACAAATAAAACACAGAGCTTGAAGTATCTTGCATCCATGGCTATTTGTAATTTTTTTCTTTTTTGAGACGGAGTTTTGCTCTTGTCGCCCAGGCTGGAGTACAATGGCCCAATCTCAGCTTGCCGCAACCTCCGCCTCCCAGGTTCAAGTGATTCTCCTGTCTCAGCCTCTGGAGTAGCTGGGATTATAGGCACGTGCCACCACGCCAGGCTAATTTTGTATTTTTAGTAGAGACGGGGTTTAGTCATGTTGGTCAGGCTGGTCTCGAACTCCCGACCTCAGGTGATCCACCCACCCTGGCCTCTCAAAGTGCTAGGATTACAGGCATGAGCCACTGCGTCCGGCTGCTATTTGTAAATTTTTTTAGTATTTTTTACCTTTGAAACAAAAAATGTTCAACAAAAGCAAGTAAATCAGGCAGGACTTTTGGAAATAGTAACCAGCTCATTTCCAAAGATGTCTGTGAACCTAAAATAGTGCTAAAGATCTCACATCTAATCACATACTACATTATGTGTTTCAAATCTATTTTAATTTTTTTCATCCTTTGCCACTACAAAATAATAATATTTGCATGTCATTTCACCTTTTTGCTAGTATCCTTAAATAGATACTTTTTAAATGTTTTTTATAGAGATGGGATCTTGCTATGTTGGTCAGGTTGGTTCTGAACTCCTGACCTCAAGCAATCCTCCTGCCTCAGCTTCCCAAAGTGCTAGGATTATAGGTGTCCAGCCTTCTAGGACCTTTTGATAGAAAGAATTGTGCTTTGCCTTGAATTTAAGAAAAAATACAACATAGCTTCCCATATATTTTCCTCAAGGTCAAACATAAGTTTTATTTTATAAACACATATTAAAAAATAAACTTCCTTAAAAGTCCAGCAGTGTGGCCGGCTGTGGTGGCTCACACCTGTAATCCTAGCATTTTAGGAGGCCCAGGCAGGAGGATCGCTTGAACCCAGGAGTTCAAAACCAGCCTGGCCAACATAGCAAGACCCCATCTCTACAAAGATTAAAAAATTAGCCGGGTGCGGTGGTGCACACCTGTGGTGGCAGTTCCTCTGGAGCCTGAGGCAACAGGATTGCTTAAACCCAGGAGTTAGAGGCTGCAGTGAGCCAGTATTATGCCACTGCACTCCAGCCTGCGTGACAGAGTAAGACCCTATCTCTAAAAAAAAAAAAAAAAAAAAAAAA